GATTCAAGCCACAGGGACACCTGAGGTACATGTTAAAACTCTGGCCAATGCCCTAATTTGGAAGAAAACAAACCGCTAGACTGTTTCTCTGCTTTTGGGATTGAGTGAGCAGAACACAAGAGTGGGCATGGATGTGGACACCTGAGGGGTGACCCAGGAGGGTCAGGAGGCAATCTCTGCTGGATTATCCTGTGCCTGCTCCTCTGTGATCCTGGCCTGTGACCCTGAGCTGTCCTTGCTGTAGTTGGTGTGGCAGATACCAGACACTGTGGTCCACTCTGTTCTGCCAGGACTCACAATGGGAGAGCACCCTGGGCCAGGGCGCCTGGAGAGAACGTGGTACCCTGAGAGGGGAGTCAGGAAATGGACTCTGTAGTCCTGGGTCATTGACCTGGAGGGACAGGAATGTGAAATATCTCCTGAGGTTCTTTAGGGAATCATTTGCCAGGATTCTCCTGGAAAGTGCCCTCTGTCTGTATTTAGTCAGACCCATTGAAACTCTCCTCACTCTTCTTTACCAGTCACCTCATAATAGTTGTAAAAAAATGCTGTTCTCCTTCCTTTTCTGGAAAAAATAAGCACTAGTGTCTTGGGGAAAACTCTGCAGATGACATGAAATGAAACAACCTTTACTAGCACTGTAACCCAGAGCCTGGCACAAGGGAAACCCTTGATTGTCAGAGAATATGCCATGGGGACCAGAGTCCTCCTCTTTGCCATCATCCTCTATATAATAAATCTGCAATGCCAAAAAACAGAGTGGTGGGACCCAATGCCTTCATGGTTGAGGTGTCTCCAGCAAGCAAGCAAGTTTTGGAGAAAAGCAAATTTGAATGTGTTGCCTGGAACTCATAAAACAGAATCCAAACTGCACACACATCAAAGCTAAATATTTGCCTATCCCCATCCCCATGTTGCTACCAAATTCCTCACATCAGTCCTGACAGGGAGGAGACAGTGTTAAAAGAGGCCTTGCTCTACCCCTCTTCTCCCTCCATGCTTAGTGCTTTAAGCTGCTCCCCTGCTGGGTCATAACCACGGTTGGCAAAATCAGGCTCAGCAGCCTGTCTCATGCTCACTGAAGGCTCCAGCTCTGTTCTCAGTGTTAATATAAATACAGTGCCACATATGAGCTTCCCCATGCAGACAGCCATGGGGGGAGGACACAGAGGCCTGGGCCCCACTGGGCAGAAGCTTTCAAGTGACAGGTTGCAGGCACAGGCTCATTATTCACTATGTGACCTTGGAGGTTCAACACACACAGGTCACAATTAAACAAATTGATACAGGTCATCCAATCCTCTGAGGATGTTTTAATATTATCAGTGGAAAAAAGAAGAGGAAATGAAAGCCCAGCGAAGTTTTGGGCTCATTCTCTATTCAGAAGGATGTTCTGTCTCTATGCACTGGGTTTCTTTCTTTTCTTTTTTAATATTCTCTTATATTTCCATTTATTAGCATGAGATCTATGCAACAACAATTAACATGTGTACCTTGTTAAGTGCACTATCAATTTGTATGCATTACATTCACCTTGCTCTGTAGCTATCATCAACACCCATTTCCAAAAAATCTGTCTTCCAAAACTGAGACTTCAGGAGAAACAATTGAAAAAATTGACAAAACAAAAACCTGGTTGCTTGGGAAAATAAATAAAATTGATAAACCCTTAATCACTGTAATGAGAAAAGGAGAAAATTTGAATTAATCAAATTCATGATGAAGAAGCAAATATTACAACAGACATGTCTGAAATACACAATATCATTAGGAATTATTTGGAAAATATATACTACAATAAAATAGAAAATATCAAAGTATATGGGGATAGGAATGATAATAGAATGAGACAAATATCATTATTTTATGTGTATATATATATATATATATATATATATATATATATATATGATTGAATGACCAATGTGATTCTACAATATGTACAAACAGAAAAGTGAAAAATTATATCCCATCTATGTATGATATGTCAAAGTCCATGAATGCATTCTACTTTCACGAATAACTGATTGAAACAAATAAATATTTATTAAGAAAAATAAGAACATATACAATAAATTGTATTACCCAGTTAAGAAAAACTTCATTCAAGTTAAAGGCATTTAAAGCAGTTGAAACACTCATTTTACTCTAAGACAACAGTTCAATTTCCCTGGCTTGGGATATTCATAAAAAACATACAAAGGTGAGGTTTCCCTTACCTAAACAGGCAACCTAAGCTGACGATTTATAATGAGAAATCATTGTAATATGCCAGGAAACTACTGTGAGTTTTTTTTCTATATTATAGAGTTTTCTGATTTCCCTCCTTTGTGGCTATAAGTGGTCACTCACATTTTGTTTTTATTTCTTAAGCATCATTTAATATGCCAGTTCCCTCCCTGGCATTTGTGGATCTCAATATTTGAAAATATATAATTTAATTGCACCTGATATATGATATTGTCAATCACAAAAGTGGCATTATTAATACACTGCATCAGTGAGAATCAATATTGGAATGTGAAGAATGTCTTTGAAATATTTTATGCAGGTTTATGCATACAACAAGTTACAGCAGGTTCACAAATATAATGTGCTCCATTTCAATCCCCAGGAACTTCCCTTTCCTTCCACCTCCATCCCCTTGAATCTCCTTTCTTGACTCCATATTCTTCTTGTTAGGTACATGAGATCCCCTTTTGTTCCATATTTCTTTTAGGACAATATCAAGTGCTTAAGGCTACGCTGATTGTGCCAATGCTTTTGAACTAATGTTTCCAAGAGTCTATTCCATGTCTATAAAGTAGGTTATATTTTTGGGTCCTCTTGTGTGCCAAGCAAGGTATAGGATATAGGAAATAATGACTGGAATAGAGTATGGGGAAGAGGAAATGAAGTAGATTCAGTTTTTCCTGTGCAAACACACAGCATATACATACGTAAGGACAGAGCAATCTGTGCCATTACAGAGATAGGGAATGAATAACTTCAAATCACAGGATAGTTTAGTTGAACAGAATGAAGTTTAATTTTCTAGTTCAACCCAATAATAATAATATCTAAATTCTATTTTGTGCTAATTTTACAGATATATCACTTATTAATCATATATAGAGAGTACCCATTTATGTTTAATTTCTACCCATGCAGCTGTACCAAGGAAAAAAATCAATTCAGATTCAAAAGTCACATCTCACATATACTAACCACCTGCTCATATTACAGAAGGTCATTCAAAACAAAGTAGGCCATACATTTCATATGCTAAATTTTTCATTGCTTTCTATCATTGAAAAGTAGAAGCCAAGGTCCAAAGTACTAAATCACAGGCAGTCTAAAGAACATTTCTCAATTCCAACCAACATTGAATAGTAATGGTATAAAATTGTGATATTAAGGTCTTCTTTTGAGATGGAGAAGCCTGGCTATAACAAGAGGTCATGGATGGCTGGGAAGATGTCCTGGAGTAGGGGAGAGAGAGACCCGGTCTGATGAGTGTGTATTTTCTCCTTCTGTGAGACTAGCCTGGCATCTCTCTGAATCATTCCTAGAGTTGATCCAGAAAGTGCCAAATATTTCTCTCTTTACTGTTGTACCAGTTATCCCAAAAATGTCAGAAGGAAAGGGCTTTCACTGTGGAGATATGTAGTGACATTGCTGGTTGTCTGCTGAAGCAGGAAACTGTCCAGGGTTCTCCTATCAAGCTGCAAGAGGCCTACATCATTCATGAGAAGGATCATGCAAACAGCTCTGGCTTCTTTTCTACCAAGCAACCTGATATTATGAACATAAAATGCTGTGTTCTTTTCTTTTCTGGAAAATAATAGTAACATAGGAGCAGTTTATCTGGATGAAATGACATGAGTGACCACAGAACACACATCTCAGACACTGGCATTTAGGAATCCCTCAAGATCAGCTCGTGACTTCATGGGTACAGACACTCTCCTCTTTGTCCTCAGAATCACTTTCATAATTCTTTGCTCTGCATGGGGAACAGTTCGTTGGAAGCCACACTCTGGTTTCATGGATAACTGTCTGAGGGGTGGGGAGAACCAGTGTGAGAGGAGAAGGAAACATGAATGGGATTCCCAGGACCCATCATGGTTCACAGAACTCAGCTGAAACCTGCAGGTGGGTCTTTTCCCATATCAATGCCCAAACTGTCATGTCAGTCTCCATGATGAGAAACAGGAGTGAGACATCCTTTCTCTCAATGAGTTGTGCTGCTTCTCTGCTGGTTCATGAACACAGAGTATAGTTTTGAAACCCATCCTGTGACTGGTGCCCAGGGAAAACTCAGCCTCCATCCCATCAATGACATTAGTTAGGGACAGACGGGAGCTTGCTGACAGAGAAAGCCAGGGGTGAAATGACACAGATGTGAGCACACTGGAATGGAGATTTAAGACCCAGGACTGGAGGGAAGGCTCTCTATTAACCATCAGAGGACCATGAGGCTCAAAGCATAGAAATCAGAATTAGTCCCATAGATCAACAATATCCCAGTCTCAATGGACTTCTTACAAAAGTGGAGGAAGAAGAAGAGAAAATGAATGTCTACAATGTATTTGGAGTCTGTCCGTACTCACCAGAAATCTTGTATATACTATTAACTGTTTTTCTTTTAATTTATTTTTCCCCTCAAGATACATCCACTTTTTATGTTCAAATTATAGTGGTCAGACAGTAACAGCACGTTACCACTTTTCACATGTTTAAATGTGATATTCAGTGGCACTGATTACATACTCTCAGAATTTCCATCTTCCTAACTAAAGTGTGTACCCGCCTAAAACAAAACAAAACAAACAAAACATTGTGCCTTCTGTCTTCTCCCAACCTTGTAAACCACCATTTCACTGTGAAGCACCATCAGGAAATAAATACATCATTAAACTACAAAACAGTGTGATCAAAGAGGCAGGATCTAACGTCTAGATGTACAGTTTTGCTGCATTTCCAGAATACATTCTACACAGACACCACAGGACCTATGATCACACTGTTCTGCACAACCTCCTCAGGGCACCTCTAATGTCCCTGTTATTCAGGCTGTAGATGAAGGGGTTCAGCATGGGGGTGACCACAGTGTACATCACAGAGGCCACTGCCCCCTTCCTGGTGAAAGACGACTCTTCTGAAGAAAAGTACACTCCACTACCTGTCCCATAAAACAAGCCAACAACTGCCAGGTGAGAGCCACAGGTGGAGAAGGCTTTGTACCTCCCACCTGAGGATGGGATCCTCAGGATGGAGGAAAAAACTTTATAATAAGAGAAAAAGATCCCTGAGAGAGTAAGAACACCATAGATGGCACCAACCAAGCACATGATTATATTTTTGGTAAGGGGATCAGAACAGGAAAGACTAAAAACCTGAGAGGGGTCACAGAAGAAATTAGCAATTTCTACACTCTTGGAGTAGGGAAAGTGTAATACAACCAAATCGTGCAGTTGGGATTCCAAAAGGCCAAAGAAGAAAGACACCAAAACTAACAGGCCACACAGACGAGGGTTCATGATGACATGGTAATGCAGGGGCTTACAGATGGCCACAAACCTGTCATAGGCCATCACGGTGAGAAGCATAGCATCCATACATCCAAAAATGAGAAAAAAGGACATCTGAGTCAGGCAGCCCACATAGGAGATGGCTCTGCTGTGAGTTTGGATGTTCAAGAGCATCTTAGGGACCGTGGTGGAGATGAAGCCAATGTCAACCAAGGACAGGTTGGAGAGGAAGAAGTACATGGGGGTGTGGAGGTGAGAGTCAGAGCTGACAGCCAGGATGATGAGCAGGTTTCCAAGCACTGTGACCAGGTACATGGACAGGAGGAGTCCAAAGAGGATGGGCTGCAGGTCTGGGTCCTCTGACAGTCCCATGAGATAGAATTCTGAGACACGTGATAGGTTTTGTGCTTCTATTCTGCTTGGGCAACTATTGAAAAAGGAAATAAGGTTGGAAAAGTGAACAAGTAGATATCATATACTCAAAGAATGATACCAATTCCTTTGATTTCAATTATTTTAAACACTGTGTACGAGCTAGGATTGTATTTGCTGAATACTTACTTAAAGTTGTTCGTTTATATCAAAAAATGTTATCGCCCAGGAGATTTTTCAGCTTCTTGAATTCTCAGATTCTCCCTTCCTTGAGGTTGACATCCCCACTTGAAATTTGCTTGTATGTAAACAAATATTTAATATAGAATTATTACCCTTAGCGTTGGTAGCTCCCACAGTTTGATTAAGTGTGTTCAACCAAACACACATAAGCACTGTCATCAGAGAACACAAACTTGTCCTTTGTGTCCCCTTCACATGTCACTGGTGAAACAGAAATGAAATTCTGGGATCTGCTTTGGAGTTCTATGGTTTATGCACATTATTGGTATCAGTCCCTTGCAATTCTCATAAATTATCTAGTGAAGAAGACAGTTCTTTGCCTTTTAAAAAAACACAATTTCCTCTTATCTTGCAAATAACAATGCCTTTTTTTCTGAACTTAACCACTCCCATGTATGGCTGAGGACTATAGAACCAGGGAAAACCCCAAACCTGTGAGTCCCTCCCTTTTTACACCATTTAAAAGATTTTCAGATCAATACTCTCTGTACTAGAATGCAATTCTCTTACCTCAGCTATTTGAAAGCCTTTCTGGGTTATTATTTTGGAGGAAACACCCTAATATAATTCAGAAAAAAATTCAAAGAGAGAATTAGTGGAAATACTCTTTGGCCATTTACTTGTGTCTAAAGTGGAGACAATAATTTCTTAGCTTCTTAACTTACAGTGTTAATCTTTATTATATTGCAATCTCCTCTATCAACATGTTTAGCTATAAATATTTTAAAATATCAAGACACCCTGTCATTGGATGGCAGCCAATTTAATCATATTTAAAAGCAACATTTAGCAATATGCATTTCAGACCTGATAATTTAGAGAAATATAAATTTTTACCTATGATATTTTACTTCTTAATTTCTCTGTAGGAGTCCATTCTAAGACTCACATTATCCCCCCAAAGAATAGTTCTTATGATTGAGTAAATGCATTTTAAAATTGTGTGTACTTATTTTTTTACCACTAGTGGTAGAAGCCATAGCCTTGGACATGCTTAGCAAGTGTTCTCCCACTGAGCTAGACTCCCAGCACAATGCAGGTATATTTATTATTTGATATGTATATGTCAGTACTGATGTGTATGTCCATAAGCAGTTTTCTTTAAGACTTACCTAAAAGTCCCTAAAATTATCTAAATATTACACAATAGAAGTCCTATGCTCCTGAAATGGACTAATTCACATAGTCCTGTGGATTGAAATGTCTCTGTGAAGTCCATGAAGTTACATCAAATGATTTTTTTTATTGGTTGTTCAAAACATTACAAAGTTCTTGACATATCATATTTTATACATTAGATTCAAGTTGGTTATGAACTCCCAATTTTACCCCAAATACAGATTGCAGAATCACATCAGTTACACATCCACATTTTTACATAATTCCCTATTAGTAACTGTTGTATTCTGCTACATTTCCTATCCTCTACTATCCCCCCTCCCCTCCCTTCCCATCTTCTCTCTACCCCACCTACTGTAATTCATTTCTCTCCTTGTTTATTTTCCCATTCCCCTCACAACCTCTTATATGTAATTTTGTATAACAATGAGGGTCTCCCTCCATTACCATGCAATTTCCCTTTTCTCTCCCTTTCCCTCCCACCTCATGTATCTGTTTAATGTTAATCTTTTCTTCCTGCTCTTCCTCCCTGCTCTGTTCTTAGTTGCTCTCATTATATCAAAGAAGACATTTGGTATTTGTGTTTTTAGGGATTGGCTAGCTTCACTAAGCATAATCTGCTCTAGTGCCATCCATTTCCCTGCATATTCCATGATTTTGTCAGCAAACAGAACAAGAAGTAACATGAGCAGCATAATAAAGCAAGGAAGAAAAGGAGTACAAACAATGAAGGACAGCCTAAATATTCAGGAGGACCTAGAGTCAGCAGAAAAATGGTCATATAAAGAACTCAAGGAATACCTTAGACAGATGGAATGGAACCTTAAAGAGGATACAAGACAGCAAATCCAAATTATTACATCAAATGATTTAGATGATGCATAGCATACGCTCAGGGAGGAACAGCATTTAACTAGTGTTTACTGTGGAAAAAAAAATTTGCAATCCTTTTTCTCTCCATATCACAGAAATGAAAACTTCCATGTAATATGTGCATTGAGGTACTTTAATTCCAATAATTGATGCATGCTTCATTTTATGATTAGCTATGTTTGGTGTCTCAATAAAAGTCAACTATCGTCAAATACAGTCAATGACTATTAACATGTAAAGTAAAAGATATACAGATAATATATATTTGGTTCTAATCATGATGTGATTATTGATTTAGGAATCATCATCTCGAATAGGGAATAATATTTTCTTATATGGGCAATATTTTCACTTTTTTTTTCAGTAGAGGGTACAGCACCCTGAGATGGGAGTCAGCACATGGACATTTCAGTCCTGGCTCACTGACTTGCAAATATTTGGGAATGTGTGCACACTTCTCCACCTCCCTGGGTACATACTGATTAATGCAAATGGGGACCAAAGCAACCACATCTTCCACATCTGAACCATGTTAGACACAACTGGATCTTACTAAACATTGTATTGTTTTTCTCGTGTCAACAATTCCATCTGATGAAAATAATGTTTATTGAAAACATTTGTGAAAAGCTAGAAAATACTGGAAGGATGTGACTCCAAAAAATATGTCAGCCTAAGCATAAGAATTACTTGCTAAATATTTAATAGGTCATATACAGGATTAAACATTTCAGTATTTCTGTTATGCTATTATTGCATGTGAAAATTATGTGGTTGAATTTTTCATTTCATTTTTCCTTAAAAGTTTCCACAGAGGAAGCAACCTGCCTTGAAAATAGACCACACCTTGTCCAGTCCCCCAAGTCCCTTCACTTCTTTCCTCCTTTTCACCAATAACTCTTCAATGCATTCAAGCATACTCCACAATATTGTCGCTTCCCGTGACTAAACACTCAGGGCCACTTCAGGTGAACTGGGCTGCATGAAATGACCACACAGACACACCTTTTACTTTAGGTCCTGTGATAGCTCCTCTGACCTTAGTGGTAAGTTCCCAGAGAGAAAGGAGCAGGGGCTGAACCCTTTTATTGGGAAGAAGCCATTCAAATGAGGAAAGACATAGGATGACAAACGACCAGGGAAGAGCAGCCCAACCCCTGCAGGTGACACCTACACCTGAACAGGCCTTGCTATCCCAGCTGGGACAACGCCCAAGTCACCATAAAATGCAATGATTGGTCAGAGCCTCCTGCTTCAGGACTGGAAGGCATGGTCATTCAGAGTGCCCCTCACACACACAATATTGGACTTCTCTTCTGTCTCTTTTAGCCCAAGCTTCACTAGGGCAAAGATCTTGGGCTGTTTTACTCCTGTGTCCTAGGCACCTAGGGCAGGACTTGGTATACAGAAATGCTCAGTCAGTATTTAACAAAAGAATGAAGTAAGAATATATTATTTGAATAGCTATTTCTAGATTCTGTTTGATTCAATGGATTCTTGAATCTGAGATAGTATGACTATAATTTGCAGTTTATGTCATAATAGTTCCTTCTTAGATTTAATCTTGCAGATGAAGAGATTGATATCCAAATAATGGAGAAAAAAATCAAATTTCTATTATTTGAATTATTTTCCTACTATTGTAAGGGGAAAAGATTAATATGCACTGGCCCCGTGGCCTTACAACACTTTTTTCTTCCCTGGTAAAATGTAAGAAACACATTCTAAACACATACATTTTGTGCATATGTATGCACTGATATACATGAATGAACTGTGTACTCTGCCCTAATAGTTCCTATTCTATTTCATTATTTTAAATGAATGCAGTAGTAAGGTGATTAGAGGTGACAATATTGTACTAAACATTTTAAAAAGGTAATTTGAAAAATTGTTACTATGAAGAAATGAGGGCTGGGGATGTGGCTCAAGTGGTAGCGCACTCGCCTGGTATGCGTGCGGCCCGGGTTCGATCCTCAGCACCACATACAAACAAAGATGTTGTGTCCACCAAAAACTAAAAAATAAATATTAAAAATTTTCTCTTTCTCTCTCTCTCTCTCTCTCTCTCTCTCTCTCTAAAAAATAAAAATTTAAAAATTAAAAAAAAGAAATGATATATTTTTCAGCAGAGAGATGTTTAACCTGATTTAAAAATTATGTAGTGAGTACACGTTTCAAAGCATCATGTTATCCCACTAATATGTATAATTTTAATGTTGAACATATATGTTTAAAATCAATTAAAAGGAATTCTGTTTGCAGTCTATTATACTCTACTACATTTTCATGATCTATGAAAGATTTGTGGACTTTAGTTTGTGGTGGGAAACAGATAATCTAAAACAAAAATCATGTCAATACAGAACCTCGTTCCTCTTTGTCTTATGTGACGGTTGGGAACGGTTTTATCTTAATTTCAGATTGATCTTTGGTGCTGCTTACAACATTTTATGTTCAAGTTTCTTAATCTATTAGCTTGCTATGTAAAACTATAGAAACTGTGTGTATATTATTTAGTACAAATAAGCTGAATCTGTAATATGTGAAAAAAAAACAGTTACTTGCCCACTTTTCTTTATTCCTCTTTCTTTTTGGGTATCTCTGTCATTGTTTCTGAATAACTGAATAATGTGGATATTCAAACAAACAAACACAAGCAAGAGCTGTCATCTCTTGGGTACTGTTTGTTTGGACATTCCTGTAAGGGATACAAGTGCAGAGAGTAGGTACCAAGTGTGTTCAGGGCACACTGATTAGAGACAAGCTCTGTGCCCCAAAAGGAGTCCATCCAATGAATAACAAAAAATATTTTAAAAATTTGAAGCCTCATTTGTGCCAAACAA